CTAGACTTAAATTATGGTCACTTTTGGACTACTTAGAAGCTAATAGTACTGTCTGATCGCTTGTAGTTTAGCCTCTCCTACGCCGGAAGACACTACTTTTGGTTCATTGGAGCGTTGTGAGCGCTCGATTATATTTGCGATAGATGCGATGCAAGCCTACTATAACTTAAAAATAACTCATGCGCAGTGATGGGGAACGCATAGAAGGGGCAGCCTTGTGCACGATCCCAACTCGACCCTGTCTTGACCGTGTCTTCACACCGGCTTCAGATGGTTGGGAGAGGAAAGTGAGTGCGATAGATATTACGCAAGTCCACTATCATTCTAGACTAAATCGCATGCGACTCATTGACCCTACACCAACATATTTCGAGCATACGGTGTACATAATCGAAATCGATGGTTGAAGTGTCAGTTTGGCTTCTCCAACGCCATGAAATCTAACTCGGAGTTCAGCGAGTGTCATAAACATCCGATTATGTCTACTGAGGCTCTATAAACAGCGAGTTCGTAACGCTGTGCTAAGGATTTGTGATTCGCGCTGTCTCCAGATCGCAGCTAAAGAATGTGTTCTAAATTATAGGCGACTAAAGCAGCTTTCGGCCTGGAAGTTATACAGTATGATGGTAATATGTGGTGTTAAACCGCTCATTCTTACCTGCCGAAGTCCTTTCCCACGATGCAGTGCCATGTCTGGCCATACTTTCTGTCGAATTCCTTCTTCACAAACCCAGCCATGTCTTTTTCCACTTTGAACTCGAAGGTGGCTGTAACAGCTATCCTAGCGGCAGAGTCTCGCATCTCGGGGCTCATATCAGCACTGCGAATATCGACCTTCACGTTCTCAGCCATGGTGATGAGTGTGTTGTTGGCTATTAGTTCCTATCTTCAGAAGTCTTTATGTTCTCTTTTATAGGCCAAAGTATGCGTACTTTTTCGGGGGCGGGCGTCTTTTTGCAGAGTGTGGAGCTGTTTTGATTTGAAGTGCATCCCTCCGTCCCTCCTCCCAACACAACCCTGCCACGAACCCCTTTCCTGGTGTGTAAAAACGAACCACGAGAACGGGCACTTTTGGAGTTATGTCAGGTGTGCTCAAAGTGCAAAAAACCCCGAGCGAATATTCCAGGCTCTCGTTTCTACTAATGTCGGATACTACTGATATGGACCAGTAGATTATCTGCTTCTACGATCGGGCTAGGTTATTTGCACACCCTCACGTTTACCTGTGGGGAATGGCCGCTTGTAATATGACAAAAATAGTGGTACTAAAGCTCATTGTCCTGTCGGTTGTGATCGGGAGTTTTAATTATGGCAGATGAGCACTCATTGATTAGGGTACGAAACCTGCCCCTCCCCCGATGGGCCCTGCGACTCCAACTACGACCTTTGCAGGTGGAAAACTGACCACTTTTCGCCAACCTACCAGAATTAATATTCCAGATCACAACCGAAAGGATAATGGGTTCATAGTGAAGAGGTAGAGCGTTAGACTTAATGCCCAAAGATCCCAGGGCGTACGTCTGAGCTTGAGCATAAATGGTTCATGAGGGCAAACAAACCCGAAATGGCTATTCACGTGTCCCGTACCTTTGTAGGTAACGCATTTTCTGCCTATGCTGCTACTCGTTATGTGACTCTCTACGAGGGCTTTCTTAATGAGCCTCGAGTTTTGGCAGAATGACAAAGGCAAAGGAGACTGGAATGACCATTTCTAGTTTATTAAGGGTCATCAGCCAGCCATATCCAATCCCCGGTGTTGCAGCGCCCGAGACTCGAACCCACGACCTTTTTGGCTAGAAATCCAGCGCTCCCTGCACTGCACAAAGGGATCGTCACCTTGTCGGTTTCAATCGGGAATGTAAGCCATGGTGGATGGGCGCTTAGTCATGAGTTATGGGACTTTATCGTACTGTCGTGCCCTGGGGCTCACTCGAGCTTCGGTGCCGCACCGCCTGGGGTTGCGTATGATTGGCTAATGACTCGTTCTGCACAAACTT